TTTTATTACCACCTCTTCATATTAAATTAGGGCTCATGAAGCAGTTTGTAAGATCACTGCCAAAAGATGGAGAATGTTTCACATATTTGTGTTCCAAGTTCCCAAAACTGTCTGAAGCCAAGTTGAAAGAGGGAGTTTTTACTGGTCCCGACATACGAAAACTGTTAACCGATCCTCTCTTTTCAGAAACAATGGGAGAAAAAGAAAACGAAGCATGGGACTCCTTCAAAGACATAGTGCACAAGTTTTTGGGAACACTAAAGACCCTCTCTACAAAACCAATGTAAAACGCATGTTGGCTGCATATAAAGCTCAAGCTATTTTCCCGAAAACTTGGGAGCCTATAGTGAAGAGCAGGGTTAACGATTTCACTAGGATGTCCGTGATATCGAAAGATGCTACCAAGGAAGATGGAATGTGAATATGCTAGCTGACTACTGCTGGATGATCAAGCAGGAAACGGAAAATGGAAAGCGAAAGCGTGTTCTGAGGAGCATCAAAGAGAAGAAGAAAAGGTTTCACAGGCAAAAAGACTGAACACAGAATGTTAAATATATCATGAAGGAATTGTTTGTTTAATTATGAGAAATAATATGTTTAGTTCAATGTAATAAAATTAGTGATTTTTTTCATCGCTGTTATGATTTTTTATTTCATTTCATTTATTTCGTGTCCATGGATCATTATACATGATATAAGACATGTCATTCTTGTGTAGTTATAGTATAATAAGTTTCATGATGTTACTATTGGGGGGGGCTGCATGTGAAGCATGCAGTGCAACGTGGAATTTGGGTACCAACTCAGCATTTGCTCTGGGACCAAGGAAAACCACAGAAAACCTTGATCGAACTGGCCGGTCACAAGACCTCCCAGATACACTGGTTTCTAGCAGCACCACTCCCACCGCCTCGGCTCCATATCCCATAGTCCCTGCTTATTGTAAATGCCTATTATTTTCCAAAAAAACGTACGTGATAGGGGGAAATTGAGGTCATTTTTGGATTCAGCATCCTAGAAAACATAAAGTTTACCAAAAATATTCCATGCAGCTGAAAAAAAAAAATATTTTTGCAGACCTGTGTTATCAGTAAGCAGTGCTGTCATTGAAGGTGAGATCAATCTGCAATTGACATTCTCCTGATGAAGCATGGTTTCACTTGCAGGAATACATAAATACCCAAAATAACCACTAGTTTTTACAGAATCCACATCTGACCCACAAACGGCTGCTTCATCCACTGAAAGTTGTGTCTGGTGTGCTGTAAGTGCAAAAGAATTGTTGGACCTCTTTCTTTAATGAAACAATTGCAAAATACATGTACAGGTCACTCCTTCCAGAGTTAACAGAAGAAGAAAGAGTCTATGACTTATTTCAGGAAGACTCAGATACTGCACATACTGTATGTCTATGCAGGCTTTGTCTGATGTCGTGGGGAACAGATTTATTAGTGGTGTATTTGGCCAGCTCATTCACTCGATTTTAATTTTTGTGATTTTTTCTTCTGTGGGTGACAAAGTTTACAACAGTAACCCCTGAATGGAAGAACTAAAAGAAAATATTCGTAGAGAAATTGTAAATATTCCTGCAGAACAGCTTCAAAAGGTATATCAGAATCTCTTCTGCCAGTGAGAGGAATATCTACTTGAAGAGGGACAGTATTTTCTGTGATACGTGGATTGTAACTACATTCCGAACGTTGCCGGCCAACAGGCATATTGATTCATCAGCAAAATTCGTATCCACCTCGCAGCCGGCGGTGCACCGATCGCCGTTAAACGCAACACCGTGAACCGGTCAGCGAAGGTAAGAACTTCTTCTCCATACAAATAACGAAAACTTGGAGGATCTTTATTTTATGGTACTAATTACGAGTTATTTCAATATGATCAATAATATAAATATGTATGCAAAAGGTTACATTTATTGAAAAAAAAACTATATAGCAAGGGGCAGGGAAGTATGAACGAGTGCAGTGATAGACGTTTGGAAACCGCTGCGCTACTCAATTAAGTAGTAATTGTATATGTGCGCTGGTTGCGGATAGAGCTAATTCCGCCGGCAGTTGGATAGGTATCATCAATTGGAACACTTTTTTACTTTTACTCTGTACTTTTTCGATAATTAATGTTGAACGGCTTGAAGCGGTCTGTTGCGGTGTGAGTGGGGGAGGTTTTTTTATTGTAAGAAAATAAATGTAAATACAAAAGAGGCCTAGGCAATGCCCAACCGGCCTTCCGTAGCACATTCTAATAACCATCTTATTCAATAATCGCGGTGGTACCGCGATTGTTAATATAGATCTTGATTTAAATATGTGTATACTGTAAATAATCAGTGCAATTACTTCTTTTACTTTTCTTACACATCTATTTTATATAAATATAGGATAGTCCCATCGGTCCCATCTAATGATCACTAGCGATCCTAGCGATTGTTAGGAGAATTAGCGGGGGAAGTAGGTGAATTTGCGTGAGTGTATTTCGAAATAATTTCCAAGTCTGGCATGTTACATTTTGACCCTTTTAGACTTAAGTGCACACTTTGAAAGAACTTTTTTTCGTTTGTAGACCACATTTTCTGTATCCCGAATTGTATTGAGCTGTGAAATCACGCGTGAAGGGGTTATGGCTGAAAGTTCTGAAGATCAGGATACCTCTGACAAGTGTGATACTTCACCGACATATTCGTATGCCGTATACTTGTATGAGCCCGAAAGGTAAAAAAATATGAATTTAAGTTGAACAAGTCGAAGATTAACCACGCTATCAACCTGCTGGGTGTCATAGGAATATACTTGTTAATCACATAAAAAGACAAGAAATGACTTGCAGGTCATTTGTAGAAGTGTCTACCCCATTCCCTAGGAGAGTGCTTTTTTTTTTCTTTTCATCGCAGCACTTGCTCACAAAGAAACATCTTCTTTCTCAGTTCTACAGCCCATGATGGGCTTTGTCTTCCTTCACAATTGCCTGCTATGTATTTCATTCCTGTGCCTTCTCTTTCCATTTACAAATCCTCATTCATCTTAGGTCAAAATTCAAATCTTGGAACCACCTCTTCCTAGGTCTTCCTCTTCTACAAACTCCAAAGAGTTCACCATTCAGAAAACATTTCAGAGTCCTCTCACTTGCCATACGCTCCACATGACCCTAGCCAACTAAGCCTAAGAGATTTTATGTGTCTCACTATGTCCTGCCTTTGAAGTAAACTATTAATTTTTGAGTTGGATCTAACCCTCCAAACACCATCTTCACAAACAGGACCATAGATTTTCCTTTCAAATATTTGAAGAGAATTTTTACCAGAAATTTTCAGTGGCATAGGTAATTATGGATCTTATTAATGTTCTGTGCAGTTTCAATTTAGTTGATCTTGAAAGAGTCCACTTCTAAGAAGTTGACAATTAGCATAACAGGCATTATTGCCTGTCATTATTTCTTATTTATTTCTCCTGATACTGTCCCTATGTTGTTCAACAGGACTACAAGGTATGTAAAATTTCTGACATTCTCAAAAGTATACTGCCCAATTGTTACTTTCAGTTATTAATCAGAAGGGGTTGCTGTCATTTTCATATATTTAGTCTTGAGTATGAGGAATCTTTCTAGGGGATAAAGGGCGGCCAGTGCACAAGGTTGACAACCTTACTGCCATCTGTGAGCCAGTTGTCTATAGAAATGTGGGAGCCTCGACGTCTCACAACCCTATGGGCTTTCACGGCCTGTTACAGGGACACCTTTACCTTTTTTACCTTGTTCATCTGTCCTGTTAAGAGTTCCTTCAAAATATTCAACCCATCTATTCATTATCTCTGATTTGTGTCCTATTACATTTCTATTTTTATCCTTGATAAAACTTCCTACGGTCATTTTGATTATTTAAAAACTCAATATTTTCTATTTCATTTTTGATATAAGCTTTCTTTTTACTGTGAATTATTTATTGGCCGTTTTCCTACTTTCTTTGTATTTATGCTATGTTTGTCTTGTTGTTCTCTGTGACATACATAGTCTTATCCTCATTTTTTCTCTTATGGCCTGTCTGCCCCCCTCATCATACCATTCATTTCTCATTCTTTTCTCTTAACTCGTTATTTCTGATGCAGCTTCAATTACAGCCTGTTTTATAATGGTCCATTGCTGTTTTGTTTACTTTCATTTTCTGTCAGTTCTGTTCTTAGCACTTCTAATTTTGTTTTTCTTGTTTCTTGAGACAGACTGATGTGGTTCCTTTAATTTGTCTACCTTCCATGTTTTCTTTTATAACTTTTATTATTATTATTATTATTATTATTATTATTATTGTTGTTGTATGCTGCTCTATTTGAAACTCAAATTCTCACATTGTGGCTTTGTCTGGGTATGTTTGCTTCTGTACCTTTATTCATGCTAACTGTGTAATTAATATAGACTATCATTTTTTAGTTTTGTTTTTTAATTGTTTTTGTGTATTTCTCTATTCATGCTAGCTTTGTAATTGGCCTCTGTGCTGTTAAGTGTGCATGTAAATAAACACGAATTGAATTATTATTATCTATTGTGGCAAGTCTGTCTTTTATTTTAACTGGAACTAAATATTGATCAGAATCACGGTTAGGACCTGTCACTGTTTTAACATCCAGTATTGATTAACCATGTCTCATAGATACCAATACATGATCTATTGAGTTAGTTTGTTCCCTGCCAGGTATTTTCCATGTTCCTTTATGTATTCTCTTGTGATTAAAACATGTGCTTTTTATAATAGAATTGTTTGCCATTGCCAGCTCACTTAACATTTTTCCATTATCATTTGTTTTAGTATGAAGTGTGTGTTTTCCAGCCATATTTTTTTAAAAAAGCTTTATCCCAATTTGAGCATCAAAATCACTTGGAATCACCTGCATATCATAGTTTGGTATTTTTGAGCATTCTCTGTGATTTGATTATAAAAGGCATGCATGTTCTGTTCTTGACTGTCTTCTGTTAGTGCATATGGTGATACTAATGTGATATTTCAAAAACGCCCTTTGAACCAATTTTTACACATTCTGTCAGTAATTGGTCATTGTCATTGTCATTGTCATTTATTTATAGTTCCAAAAAAATCCATAGAGGCATCTGCCTCAGATATAGAACAAGTCAATAATACAATATAACATATAAATATACGTACATAATCAGACAGTCATCATATATCATTATAACATTTAAAATTACATACATGATCAAAAGACCATCAAGATCCTTAATATAGTAATATAAAATCTATTTTCTTAATATATAATACACCTGTATCACAACAGTAATAGCACCCTTTTCCTGAGTATTCATTCCACAGTCCATTGCTTTCTAGCAATAGGCAACAGTGTTAATTTAAATATACATTTTATTCATTCATTCATTTATTACAGTTAAAGAATCCACAAAGGGGTCTGCTTCAAATATAGAAGAAGTCAGCAGCGCAATATAACACATAAATATACATGCATAATCAGATAGTCATCATCATCAAAATTTGAAATACA